TTCTATCGCAGTAGCAAAGCTCTCCAATGTGAGGGGATAAAATCAGGGAAGGGTATGTGGGGTGGGGGAGGGGCAAGAGACAGGAAAGCCACTGAAGAACAGCCTCAGCTGGGGCAGGAGCTGTAGCTGAGCTGGGGTGACCCGCACTCCCCTGCAGGCCACCCGGGACAGGGCGGGCAGGAGCGCGTGCACTTCAGTAACTTGGCACCAACTTGGCCCAGAGGACCATGCTGCCATCCTCCCACCTCTTACAAATTACCCGGAGACACCTTGAGTGCCGGCCACGGTAATTATATTGATAAGGAAGCCAGAGCAGAGGAAATGAATCAATGGTACCTCATGGATTTCCTGAGTATCAATCTATCGAATTACTGCAACTCTCTTGCACTCTCATTTGTGGGGTCAATAGCTATCTGTCTTGCTCGCCGCTGTTAGTGTATCATTGAATCCTGGGTATATTATCTGTCCCTCAGGTTTATATTGTCTCACTCTATCTGTGGAAATCTTGTCTGATCCTCCTGCCAGCCGGGCACGCTGCCTTTTTTTTTTTCCCCTCCATTTTCTCTGCTTTCCCCTCCCCACCTCCTACCCCCACCTCGTCTCTTTGGCCCATTTTGCTTCTAGTCCTGGAGTCTTACTAGCTCTAGTCAGATGATGCGTCTGAGAGATAGGAAGATAGTGAAGGGAGCGGAGAGGCTCTGCTGGTCCCCTCCAACCTCCTAAGCTGCTTGTGGTGACAGATTTTGCGTCTAGCTTAGAGATGCAGCCATCACCTCACACCAACGCCAGACCATGGGTCTCAGAGCAGGTGGGGCCCCTCTAAAGGAGACAGAGGTATCAAAGGCAGCACCTGGATATGCCAAAGATTGGACCAGGCCTTCCTCGTAGGAAGTTGTGAAAATCTGCCCTCCAGCAGTGCTGAAAAGTGCCACAGAAAGATACCTGCAGGACAGCCAGCATTCTTAGTGACACAGAGGAATGGGATACAGAGAATGAAGCCAGAAAGAAGACCTTTCAGGGAACACAAGAAAGAAAGGCTGCTTTAAAATAATTATTAAGTGACACAAGCTTAACAAAATTAAGGGCACAGTTATTAAGTAAGCATTAAATAAATGTTAGTTTTATTGCCCTTTCAGCAGGCTTCGGATGAAGTGAGAAAAATGGAGCCTCTCATGCCATCCATCCCACCCTCTCTCTCCGACTGCCCTGGAAGCAGACACACAAGAGAAAAACAGAGAGGTCTGTGGTGTGGTGAATGATGGCTGTGCCTGAGCCCGAGCCCGGCGGGGACACGCCAGAGGGAGCTCAAGAAGTAAATGGAGTCAGAGGGAGCTGGTGCCAGCCCTGGCCCAGTGGGGAATTGTCCTGGCAAAGGGCAAGTTTAAAAGACGCCTCCCAGCTCCTCCAGGAGCAAAGTTTCCTGGTTTAGAATTGCACCTGCTTCTTTGGGACACAGTGGAGGCTGGGTACCATCAGACGAGCCCTCCCTCCAGGAGAGACGGAAGCAATTTCTGGGGTAGCAGTCTAGATGGGGTGGGGAAAACATTAAGCTAAAAGTCATCGCTGTCAGGAAGTCCTAAATCTGATCCGGGGAAAGGGAAGTGTTGATTTGGAAGTCTTTTTGTGAGAATGATCTGTGGCCCCTAATTAAAGTTGGCTGAGACACAGCCGTGAAGGGTACAGGCTACGGTCAGCAAAATCTGGGTTCAGTCTTGGTTGCTCTGCTCATTAGCTGTGCAGTGTTGGTCAAATTCCTTGGCCTTTCCTGAAGCTTCATTTTCCTCATCTCAAATGATGGGAAATAACAGAGGACCTACCATCAAAGCAAAACAACCACAGAGCCCTGCTGGCTGTTTATAGCCAATCTGATTAGTTGATGCCTCTTCCAATTGGCTGTTGCTTGAGCCACACCAGTTGCTAAATATCTTGACTCCTACATATCAATCACTCCTTCCTCTCTTATAGGGTTGTTGTCAGGAGTGAATGAAATGAGGCAAATGCTTAGCTTGGTGCCTGGTAAATGCCTAATTAGCTGTTGGTATTTGTTATGGATTGAATCGTGTTCCATGAAGAAGATATGTTGAAGTTCTCACCCCCAGTACCTAAGAAGGTGGCCTTATTTGGAAATAGGGTCATTGCAGATGTAATTAGTTATGATGAGGTCATACTGAGTGATGAGCCCCTCATCCACTATGACTGATGTCCTTGAAAGAAGATAGCCATGTGAAGACAGGGACACAGAGAAACGGTCATGTGAAAATAGAGGCTAAGGATGGAGTGAGGCATCTACAAGTCAAGGAATGCCAAGTGTTGCTGGCCGTCACCAGGTGCTGGACGAGAAGCATGGAATAGATGTTCCCCCAGAGCCCTCAGAAGGATCTGACCCTGATGACGCCTTGATTTGGAACTTCTTACCTTCAGAACTTTGCCTATGTGAGAATAAAGCCATGTAGTTTTAAGCTGCCCAGTTTGTGGTGGTTTGGTAAGGCAGCCCCAGGAAATGAACATAGTCTATAGTGGGTAGATTCCTCAAAGGCCAAGTAACAGGAAAGAAAAGTGCTTAACATTCATTTTAGTCCAATTTCGCACGTGATGCTTGAAAGCCCATCTCCAGCATTCTCACTAAGTAGTTTTTCAGCTTGTGCCTGAACACCTCCAGTGACCAGGAACTCACTACCTATTATGACAACCCAGTAACTCTATTAGAAAATCTATTCTTTATATGGAGCCAAAAATCTGTTTCCCCATAGATTCCTCCATGGGGTGGAAACTACCTCCCTTGGACCTTTTGCTGTGTAAAAATCCAATCCCTGAGCATTTAACAGCCCTTCAAATGTTTGCATTCACTGCTTATACATATCAGAGCTTTAGCAAATGCAATTTCCTTTGTGTATAATGAACTGTCTTCTCAACCTAAAGAGCAATCTATTAAAATCCAGTTCCATATTACATATCTCCTGACAGACTAGTTTATGCTGTGGGCAAAAGCAGACCAAAATCTGTGCTTCAGAAACTCAAGGATCATCTCTCTCTCACGCACTATGCATTTGCTGTGGATCAGCGGGAGCGCCGTGTATGTTGTAGTCGTTCAGGGACCCAGACTGAGAAAGCAGCCACTATCCTGAACATGGCCATCATCATGGGACGGAGACAGCTCTGAAGGGTCTCCCCGCAGGGATTAATGCCCCAGTCAGAATTGACACACATCACTTCCTCTCACAACTTATTGGACAGTCCTAGTGGCAGGGCCTCGCCAAACCAATGGGAGGCCTGAAAATATAGTCATGGAGAATCTAGTCCTACCATGTGCCTGGAAGCCAGGCCAGAAACCCTTGGCCAACGATACTGATGGTCACCCCACCCCCTCTGAGTAGCTTTCCCCACTGTTCCAGGAACAGCTGCTTGGATCACCCCTAGCCCTCCCAGGGCATTTTGTATACTTGGTCCTGGTAATGATCACATTGCATTATCATTACATACATGGCTCCACCTCCTCCACGAGACTGAGAGTTCCTCAAGGACAAGGACAAGGTCACAATAAATACTTGCTATGTAGATGTATTTGAGAACAGTGACCATACATCCAGTCAAAGCCAAAGCCCTAACAACGGTGACAAGGCCATCTCTGACCTGGACAGGGGAAGAACCAGAACCATCATTCTACTTGTCCACAAACCATATTTGTTTTAGTGAAGGCCAGGTACTGTTTAAGGAGTATCCAGGCAATAACTCGATCATCACTACAATTCCGTAAGGTTGGTAATATTATGATCCCCACCTTATAAGTGGAAACACTGAGGCACAGAGAGGTTAAGTTATCTACTCACAGCTAGAAAACAGTGCAAAGGAGCTGGGTTGGAACCAATGTGGTCTGACTCCACAGTCCAGATCTTATATTCACATTCAAATCTTGACCTCTCTAGGCAAAATTGGCTCCATTGTGAGATGGGAGTAGTCATAACACTCCATCCTAGGGTTGTTCTGAGGGTCGAGGAAGGCCACCCTCGAGCTGCACAGTGCAGTCTGCACACAGTCCATGTTAGCTTCATTTGTTGCCTTCTTCTGAGACTCATTGTTACTTTCACCCCGCCCCTTAGTCCTTAATCTTCTTAGTAGCTCTAACACTGCCTTAGACGTAAAGTTTGTTAAACCTCTTTTCTGTTTTACATAGGGAATAAAAAAAGAAATATAATTTCTGTGAAACTGATTGGTATTACAGTAAATGTATTATTCTCTGGGGTCCTTGGTGACTAGGTAACCAGCAGAGGAGCTCATTTATTATGTTAGCAATTTAAACAGGACCTCGGAAGTAAGGACCCCTGTGATCGCTAAGCACTGGGGAATGCTAATGAGAAGATTAAAAGAAAGTTCAGCGCACACAGCCCCAGATCATCACAAATGCACCCAAGGATTATTAACCGCCAGAATTACCTGGAACTATATTATCTGCCTGGTTGGTTATTCTAAAGTCAACTTGTATTGAAGAGATGAGCTTAGAGGCGTTAATAAGTTATTTTGAAGTGACTTGGCGGGGCCCCGTCGTAATAACTATCTGGGGAAAGATGAGGGTCCCTCCTCCTAATTCTCACCCAAAAGGGAAAGGAAACTCTGAGTCCTTGGAGGAATAGCCTCTCCACTGAGCCCCAGAGCCCCGTCCTCGCACGCTCGCTTTGCTGGAACCACTGGCCGATCATGGAAGCCAGACTTATGCATTCTGTTGGGTTGTCGGAAAAGTCATGACGCATTTTTGGAATGAAAAACAGAGAAAAAATATGTCACGACTCTTCTGACAACCCAGTAGATACGTCTTCAGGAAATCAAAATGCCTGCAGAAGCAGTGTCCATGTCAGAGATCCATCCCTCTAGGGGACAAAGCCCTGGGCTTTTAGGACCCTGGGTGTCACTGACCCTTCCCAGCTGTTTGGTTTTGCAGGGCTGTGTGGAGTGACACATCCAGGCACGGGTCTCAGAGGTGGCCTTTCTCCTGCTTTCGCTTGCAGATCCCCGCCACGCCACTCTGCGTGCTGCGGGCTGGCCTTGAACCCGGAGCTGTGCTGAGAGGATGGGGGCGGACGCGGAAACAGCCATCCTGAAGAACATGCTCATTGGCGTCAACCTGATCCTTCTGGGCTCCATGCTCCAGCCCTCCGAGTGTCAGCTGGAGGCCCCCACGGAAAAGGTGGAGAGATCAGCCGTGGAGGAAGAGGGAGGCGTCGCCAGCTACAACGCGTCCGACAAAGAGCCGCCCGTGGTCTTCAGCCACGTGTATAGCATCAACGTGCCCCTGGACAGCCTCTGCTCCTCGGGGCTGGAGGCCTCAGCCGAGCAGGAGGTGAGTGCAGGAGACGAGGCACCGGCAGAGTACCTGGGCCAGACTTCCGACCCGGAGACCCAGGTCACCTTCACCCACAGGATCAACCTCCCCAAGAAGGCCTGCCCGTGCGCCGGCTCGGCCCAGGTGCTGCAGGAGCTGCTGAGCCGGGTGGAGATGCTAGAGAGAGAGGTGTCGGTGCTGCGGGACCAGTGCAATGGTAACTGCTGCCAGGAAAGCGCGGCCACAGGTAGGGCCGGGGAGCCCGAGCTTGCCAAGGGCCTCAGGAGGGGCAGGGGAGGGCCGAGTGGAGAGGGAGAGCCCGCAGGCACCCTCCGCGGAAACCCAGGCCCTCTTCAAGCAGAAGGAAACCAGAGCCCCCAGTCTGCAGCTCTCCATTAACACATCCCTGAGATCTAAAAGCCATCCTGGAGGTGGGGGGAAATGGGGGACACAGCACCACTTGCTTAGCCAGTTTGAAATACATTAACCTGGTTTTGGGGAGATGAGTCAGGTACATCAGTTCAGTACAGCAACCTCTGTGGCGAGCAGGGAATTTGATGTCTGTCTTCATTCATCTTTGGTTTTCACAGGCTGTTGAATTGATATCCATCCTTGTTAACCTGAGGGACTAGAGCGTGCAGGTGCCATGTTCACTCCATCACAGCCTTTCTCCCATCTGAATAGATGATAGTCATCAAGGTCCCTGAGGACCTGTCGCCATCTTCTCCAGGAAGATGGAAGTTGTGGCCCCTGCCCACCCCCCTACCCCCGCGCACACACATGCACACACACTCACAGAGCGTATTCCAACCCCCAAAAGGCTGAGTGTCCAGGACAAGTACCTCTAGCCTCACCCCCCCACCCCCTGACTAGTAACCCTGATGAGTCACCGTCTATGCCTGTCTGAGAACGGTCATTACGTCTTCAGAGCCAGACTGCCAAATTCAAATCCTGCCTCTGCCACTTACTAGCTTGTGACTAAAGCAAGTCGCGTGCCTGTGCCTGCCTTTCCCCATTGACAAATGGTGATCGACTAAGATCACAAGGAGTTGTTAAATATAAAAACAACTCTTTAGATGAAACCCTGGCTTCCAGTAAACCCCACATAAGCAATAGCTGTGACCAGTGGACCCCCAATGATCAGAAATTGTGTCTGTCCCCTTCTGGGGCCATCTTCTCTCTCCCAAAAGGCACCTTAGACTCACGCCAACTCATTCCTTAATGAGAAGGGGAATTTGTCTTACTGTCTTGGGTTCAACCTTTTACCGCTATAGGATTCAATATCCCCAGGCTTTCACAGGAAAAGCAGGAGGTGGCAGGAATGACATTTTACAGGGCCCAGAGGGCCCACATGTCCAGAGGGATATCGCACATTTCATCCTGAGACACAGCAAGACGAGGGGCAGTCTTTGAGTAGCTAAATATTTCATGGTTTTTCTCACTTCTTTCTCTACCTCGTAACCCAAACTATACATAAGCAACCTGAGAAACAGAAGAAAGTCCAGTTTGTCAGGCTCCGCTTCCTCAGTGACATCTGTCAGGCCCGTTCACATTTTCCACAGAGCTGGAAACAAGGGGAAGTCAGAGGCGGCCGTGGACATGGGCTCTTTGCTGCCCCGGAAGCTAGGCTGCTTTTATGGGTGGCTCTTTACCTGCTTCCTACCTGGCTCCCCGGCAGACACGGAAAAACCCACCAACGAGAGCTATGTTAAGCAATGTCAGCCTAGTATCCTTTCCGGCTGCAGGGGCTGCGTAAAGTGGCAGAATTAAACAGGATATAACTTACTGGACTTCATACCCCCCAGGGCCAAGTGCAGAGAAGGATGCCAATCAGGTACTGGATTTGCGTTTGCTTAATAAGTTTGTGTGATTCGTGTTAGGCAGATAAATGAACCACCGTAGTTATAGCGCGGTAAGGGCTAGGACAGGTATGCATAGAATCCTAAAAAGATCCCAGCAAACAGTCTCTAAATGAGACTGAGGCTCTGGGAAGGCTTTGCAGTGACCCTGGCGCTGAGCTGTGATGAATGAGCGAGTTCCACTGCAGGAAGGGGAGGGGGTAGGATGGGCCTGTACGACCTTGCCCTGAATAGCAAGCTCTGTGCTCAGCCTCTATCCCCTCGAGTCCCCTTCTGTCCCCACAGCACGTGTGCATCTCTGTCAGGAGCTGTCCTCGGGCTGTGGGAACCTCCTTGGCTTGCCTGGAGAGAGAATGGAAGAGCCCAAGCATTTGTACCCCCCAGGGACAGCTCTTAACCCGTGGTGACATGTGACCTGCTCTGTGACCTGAGCATCCTACAAAATGGAACCCAAGTTACTCTCTCTGGGACCTTGCGTGACAATGCAGCCTGGCATGGGCTTCTCCCCTCCCCCAGTCTTCCCCTCTCTCTGACCTGGTTTTCCTGCGAGCGCTTTCTAATAAGTCACTTTCACCTGACTCCTCATCTAAGATCTCCTCCTGGGAAACCCAAGCTGAGACACCCTGAGGGGCAGCTCTTGACGGACGAGGGACCAGACCGCACTCATCCTCGCCCTCAGCACTGTGCTAGGCACAGACCACACATGTTAGGTGGGGTATTTATGAAACTGATTCCACAGGTTGAGCTTAAGTCTCAGCAACATAAATGTGAACAGAGAAGTCTCTGCCCCCCCCCCCTCCCCATGCACCATTTACAGGAGGTGCCCCGCTGCTCTCTGACCTTCCCCTTGACCGTTCCAGGACAGCTGGACTATATCCCTCACTGCAGTGGCCATGGCAACTTTAGCTTCGAGTCCTGTGGCTGCATCTGCCATGAAGGCTGGTTTGGCAAGAACTGCTCAGAGCCCTACTGCCCGCTGGGCTGCTCCAGCCGGGGTGTGTGTGTGGATGGCCAGTGCGTCTGCGACAGTGAATACAGCGGCGATGACTGCTCCGAGCTCCGGTGCCCAACGGACTGCAGCTCCCGGGGGCTCTGCGTGGACGGGGAGTGTGTCTGTGAAGAGCCCTACGCAGGCGAGGACTGCAGCGAGCTGAGGTGCCCCGGGGACTGCTCGGGGAAGGGGAGATGCATCAATGGTACCTGCTTATGCGAGGAGGGCTACGTTGGTGAGGACTGCAGCCAGCGGCGGTGTCTGAATGCATGCAGTGGGCGAGGACACTGTCAGGAGGGGCTCTGCTTCTGCGAAGAAGGCTACCAGGGACCCGACTGCTCGGCAGGTAGGAAGGCGGGGCTCTGTGGGGCATGTGGCGAGGGTGGTCCAGCAAACTATAATAACCGGAAGGGGGAAAGAGAGATGGGGGAAAGGTGAATTGTAGGGACAATGATGCCCAATTAGGGGGTGTTCATTTGCTTCCCGAGAGAGCTGATTTCTTGAGTCCATCACAGTTGATGAGGCAGATTTAAGAGGGGAAAGGACTGAAAACCAGAAAAGGTCAAGTTCAGGCTGAAAGTTGGATTGTACCCTTGAGACTGGATAAAAGGCAAGGGTAATGGTGACAGCACTCCACTCTCCTGGTGGAGGTGGAGGAAAGCCATGAGACCACTATAAGCAAGGTCACTCTAACTCAGAGGGCATCTAAGAGCTCCACCTGCTCCAAAACATCCCCTTGCTTGTCACCATGTCCGGGGACACGTCCTCTTGCAATCCTGCTGTGTGAGATAGTGCTTAGTCTGCGCTAACCAGACTAACCAGGCCCTCTGGCTATTTTAAAGCTTGCACATTGCAAAGTGTTGTTAATTTATGAAATGGCCTAGTGTCCACATGGAAAAAAAAAAAGCATTTGTAGGCAAGGAATTAAGTGTAAATGGGAATAAAGGCATCAAGCAACAACTCACATTGTATCAATTAATACAGAATATAATAGACTGTGATTCACTTCGTCCAGGTGACACATTGTAAATTGGAACCAACTCCATATATACGAGTAGTCTGCACCATGGGAGTCAATACAAAGGGGACGTCCTGGAATGTAGAGCTAAATCCAACACTGGGGAAAACACCAACATCTCCTTGGAGATGACTTCTTTTTGCCTGAAGTCAGTTTGTTTGCATCCCTTTGCTATTATTGCTCTTGAGTGACTCTTACTTAACGGATACGTCTGTGTGCGTTTTAAACAGTATATAGTAAGCGACTGATCTTGATCCTTTTTATTTATAGTTTAGCCTGTAGCAGTGGGCTCAGGGTGCCCATGGGGGAAGATTTAAAATTTAAAAATAACAGCAAGCAAACATTTTTGAACCTTCTGATGGGTTGATTCCAGGAATTTTTCTGACCAGCCTCTGACAGCAGTTTAAGGGAGGAATCCTGAGACTCTCTTTAGCATCATCAGTGGTTCACACCTGGATAACAGACCAGTCAGACCTGTGACTTCAACTTAAATTCTTCCCAAAGATTAATGGCAATAACAACAACAAAAAGAAAACCCCACAAACAAACGAACAAACAAACAAACAAACAACAATGTACTGCTTAGAGGAAAATATTTTCATGTTCCTTCATTTTTTTTTTCAGATTCATTTATTTCATTTAGCCTCCTAGTTTTGTTTACTGAATTGAAAAAATCTTTCTAGAAATATACTTAGTCATTATACCAGTTGTTCTGCAGCTAAATTCAAGCAAACGTTAAGCCTGGATGTTTCTGAATCTAAAGTCACTAGGTAGTTGCTGGAGCAGGGGAGACTGAAGTGTGGGTCCTAGTTCCCACCCACAGGACACGCTCTATGAGGCCCCATCGGAGGACGCTAAGACTCAGCTGGGACCACTGCTACCTATGGCTATCTGACAGTCCACATGCTCCTGTATAGAACTGGTCTTTGTTGGGCTGGACATACCTGTAATGCCCTTGACCCTGCTTTTCTACAGGGATGGGTCCCTTTGCAGACAGAATCTTAACCTGATCGAGGGTCCAGCCTGAACCGGAGAGAATCCCTCCTGGTCACTCAGGGAAGACTCAGCAGCTGTTAGCATAACTACAACGGGGCTGAGTCCAAACCAGGAGCACACGTTCCCTCCAACACGTTCCCTCTGTGCTGTTCGAGGAAGACGTCTAGAGGCCCAGATAAATTACTTTCTGGGTTCCCGAAGCATGTGAGGAAGGACAGTTACATAATCTCCATCTGTTTCTATAGCAACCCTGGAGCCACCACTCATCGCGGGAGGTACTGCTCTCAATGCCTGCCTTTTAAACCAAATGCCACGGGTCTCTTCCAGAGAAGTATCTAGGTCATTATCTAAAGTGCTACTTTGCTTGCTCTTTGTGAAAAGGCTGCAGGAGAGGGGGCTATTTGTCTACTGTTGGACATTTCTGGCCAGGTGCACACACGACAGCATTACTGCTGCTCTCCCCAGTGGGAGTGAGGAGAGAAGAGACAGGAAGGTGAAAACATAGAGAGCCACAAAACGCACTTCCGCATAGGTCATTCTTTCCTCTCTGGCATGGGCATGGAAAATAGCTGCTCATTGTGTGGATGTCATTCTGAGGCCCCCCTGGGCAGCACGATGGAGCCTGAACACAGTTGAATAGTGCTGACAAGGCCACCGTATTTGCCTCCTAGCCTTGATCTTTGTTCGCAGGGCACCTTGGGATGAAATCCCAATCTTTCTGCCTCTGTTCTCTGGCTGTGTGAAGATAATAGAACAAAAAAACTTCATGAATATGGGCACTTAAAACGGGCCTTAGAAAGAAGCTACTCAGGGCTTCTCATTTCACAAATTTAAAAAGCAGCAGCCCAGAGAGACGGAAAGATTTTTCCAGAGCCAGACAGCTAATTAATGGTGGAGCAAGAATGAGAACCCTGGTCTCCTACCAACTTCTAGCACTCTTTAATTCTCTCTGGGAAGCTAAGTAAAATAAAACAATTTAAAAGCCACAAACACAAAGAAATCGTCTTTTGATATGAAAGTCAAGCCCTGTCAAATGATTTTTAAAAATTAGATGCTGGAGGTGGGAAGAGAAGCACGTTAAACCATTTGTCCACTCCCCCCCACCCCCACTCCCGCCCCGTGAGGGAGGTCAGTAAGGCTGCTGGCCAGTGAGCTGGCCAAAACTCCCAGTGAGTCAACAGGATAAAAGAACCACCAGAGCAGGGCCTTGGAACAATCCAGAAAGCTGTTCCCTGGACTTCAGTCAGACCTGTGGGGATTCACGAACGTCAGCCTCTGCCTCTGCCAGCACTGCAGCCAGCCCAGCCTTTGGCACCTGAACTCCCTCGCTCCTTGGAGCAAGACACTGCATGGAGCTACTTCTAACTGTTTGCCACGAAGGTGCCAAAGCGATGCAAGCTTACAGAGGAAACAGTATGGCGTTTTGGCAGATCAGCAACTCCAACAATACCTGAAGCCACAGTGGACCCCCTTTTAATTGCCTGCTCTTCCCCAGGTTTCAAAGCGGGAACCCCAGAAAGGAAGGCGAAGATGACTCTGCAGCCACCCTAAGTTCACTGGATCAAGGAACAGGGAGGGCTCTTGTACAGTTTGCTTTGCACTTCAGCATCATTCGGTTTTATAAAAATTACTGACACCCAGTGTCCACAGCTGCTGCTCGGTTATAGGGCGGGTGGTGATGGTTTCTTCCGTTGAGCTATCACCCTCCAGAGGACTTCTGCCAGGAATGGCGCTGTCACTGCTTTCTCATCAGAAGTGAGGGCCACGTTACCACCAGCCTTCAGGTCTCAAGATAGAACTTTGCCAAGTTAAGCGGTCAAAATAAAAATCCTTCCGCACCCCCTTTTTTACTTTAAATCCCCCAAATGCTCAGCTTGGATTGCCCTCTATTGTCATGATTAGCTTTATTTTCTGGAAGAAGAAGCCAAAAAAAAAAAATACTGACTTGGTCCAAATGCCCCAAGGATTATTGGTGACTTGAAATTTTGGAATGGCCGTTTCTGTCACTATGACAAGAGAAGCCCCACACGGGAAGCCTGGAATCCTTGTGCTGAACCACAGGCGGCAGGCACCAGAGAACCTTTTTTGAAAGAAGTTTTTACTTCGAGGATAAGCACCAGTCTGGAAGTCACCTCCTAAAAGACAGTCTGAATTATTCTTGAGTCCGTTTTCCTTTTGAGGACCGTGTGGACACGAAAGAAGGCATGTGGCACCATCCGTAACCCATTCTATGAGCTTCAGGGGAGAGAGCACTAAGCGTAGGTGATCTGGGTTTGAGAATCAGTTCTGTTGTGACCCAGATCCCCGACTTTTGACAAGGGTCTCAGTTTTTCCATCTGCAAAGTTGGGATCATTTTATCTATCCCATGTACCTCACAGGGCTTCTATTAAAGAATTTTTTAAAACTCTAGATAGATGGTATGTCTGAACATGTTTTATAGATGGTAAAATGCTATGCAACTGTAAAGTGGTGTTGTTTACTAGATAAGAGGTTCTGGACTCATTCTGCCTGGTTCAAACCCTAGTGTCTGTATTACTGGCTATGTAAACCAGTTTCCTCACCTATAAAATAGAGATAGTAATAATACCTCTCCCACAGCATTGCTGAGAGGATGAAATGAGATAAACGATGTAAGAGTGTCTGGCATCATGCCTGGTGCATAATAAATACTCACTGTAATCATACTGACAGGTTCTATTTTGTATGCGTTTTGCAGGCTATCCCCAAATTCTTAGTGCATTCAGAGCTTTAGTAATGTCAGAATTAGAAACTATAGAAGCTTATAAATTATCTCTTGACAGTTTATTTACATTTCATTTACAGTTATTTAGTTTTATAAATTTAAAAAATACATTTAAAATTTTTTCTTTCTGTCACCATTTGCCATCTTCAATTAGAGCGAGCATGGCTATCTAGGCTGTTTCACGCAATGACCAGTTCTGGGCAACAGCAATTGAAGCAAATGCCCACCATTGCAAATATATGTCCCTAAATCCCATCCTCTGAGTCTGAGCTCCTCATTTCTGCTGCTGCCAAGGAGCTGAGGGTGCTTGTGGGAGCACGACGGAGGACAGGCCCCCTCCACTCCCAGGTCCCATGCACAGCAGCTGGCTCAGCCCTATGCTCTTGTAAAGATGGAAGAGTGAAAATGCTCAGAGGGGACATTCAAAACCAAAGACAACTCAAACTAACCAAGCCTCCTCTACATATAAATTTATAAACTAATTATGCCAATTTAAATATTGGCCCGATCTTTGATTTAATCAATAGGCAGGGCCAATTACAGGCACACTGGAGTTTGCCTCCTAATTTGTCTTCAAGGTTCAATTATTTAATGCCACACTTCAGGTGACTCTTCACTTCCCAAGAGACCCATACATGAAAGACGATTATCAATAAGGTTTAATCGTCGGCGATTCTTAGAATAGCATTTGAAAAGTAGAACAAGAGGAAGACCAAAGCCCTCAAGAATGCTTCTTTGTCATCATCCTCAAGATCAAGGCTAATAAAAATTAGTTTTAACACAAGTTACATTTCTTTCCAAATTTAAACAGTCTCCTTTTAACAGAGAAAATGGCACTACAAAGTGTTATGGAATATCTTCAGCAGTCCACGGGATCCAGGACTCACTGCGTTGGCTTCTTCTATTTTACGCAATAATAAGGAATAAGCCTTTTATTTCCACTTGCAAAATCAAATATTGGCCCCCAGGGTAATCTGGTGACAATTACTTATTAAACTACCAAAAATGTTGGCCAGTGGTATGATGTTAAATATCTAACTAGCTCCCTGAGGGGGAAAAGAAAGAACAAGCCCTGCCTTGTAGCATTTGCCAATTTCCCTGGTGTAAATACTCCCTCTGTGGCCAATTCCAAACTACCAACATGATGTCACTAAAGATGGAGTTGGCAATAGCTGTGCAGCAGAACACAATTCTATAGTATTTACACCAGAGAGACACAACACACATAAATTACCTTGAGGGTACAGATAACGTGATGAGTTTTGAGTATTTATTAGCTTGGTTTTTAATATAATTTACCCACCTGTGAGTTTATAAAATGTATTCTTCCATAATGGCTGTAGTTAACAACTGCCTTGCAAAATTCCTGAATTCTTCATGATCAACTTTCAGGAGCCAGTTAGGAGCAGGCTCCATCCAGCATACCACTAACTCAGGGCCCCATGGAGATGGGAGAACTAAGCACAGAAAAAAAAGGGCCTTCTCCGGAAGGGTTGCAAACCTCCCAGAGCCATTGAGCTGAGCAGAACATACAGACGGGGCCCGTGGGGTGAGAGGCGAGGAAGACAGCTGAGTCGAGGATGGCGAAGGCAGTCCTCTGAGCTCATGCTCTCTGTGTGTTGCCTCCCGGTAGCTGCCCCTCCAGAGGACTTGCGAGTGGCTGGTATCAGCGACAGGTCCATTGAGCTGGAATGGGACGGGCCGATGGCAGTGACGGAATATGTGATCTCTTACCAGCCGATGGCCCTGGGGGGCCTCCAGCTCCAGCAGCGGGTGCCTGGAGATTGGAGTGGTGCCACCATCACGGAGCTGGAGCCAGGTCTCACCTACAACATCAGCGTCTATGCTGTCATTAGCAACATCCTCAGCCCTCCCATCACTGCCAAGGTGGCCACCCGTACGTACCATTCCCCCACCCTGCTTCATTTTCCTTTTCTCCTACATGAGATCATGGGCATTCATAATAGTACACAGCGTCTTTTCTTAATTCTTCCGGGTTGCCTGCGATAATCACTGCTCTTGAGGGGCAGGGCTTCCGACATGGCCCACTTAGGAAAGGGTACAACCTTAAAAAATCACTTCTGATTAAGAGAGCTTTCCAGATTCAGGCAGCTCCCATCAATTATAGAACCAAAGGACAAAGAGTACTTTAATGATTGAGCTATGACTTGTTATAAGCTAGAATCTGATTAGAAGTCAAGGAAAGTACAGCAATTATACAGACTTTGAATCTAGTTAGAGCTTCAAAACCAGGAGATGTGAACTAGGAGGTATCATACGAAAGGGCTAAATGGCATGTTACACATGGTAAGTGTATAGCAGAGTGGGAAGATTCTTATGTAAAACCACTACTGAAAACACCCACTTCTCATAGAGAGGTGGCATCATTTCTTGACTGTCTTTTGTTTTGCAAAATAACTTTATAGTCCACTTCGGATATAAAATTTGAGGCTTTAGAATATAGTTTAGAAAAATGAAATGGGGAGAAAAAGAGAGAGAGAGAATGAGACAGAAACAGAAAGCAAGCTAAACTGCTCTCCTTAAAAAATGGACTTTTTTATTTCAGACAGGGCAACACTCCCCTAGGTATATATCCAGACATTATATGTATATTGAAGCATAGAGAAATTTTAAATGGTTGCAATACCTCCTATTAACAGGGACCATGTTAAGGGGTAGAATAGGAAGGCACTGTTTTTGTTTTTGTTTTGTTTTGTTTTTACTTAAACCACCTTTTCTAACACCACTTTTCCAACTCTCGGACACCAGCTGGGCAACCTACAGTTCAATTCGATTCTGACACTATCAACCTGGAGTGAGTGTCAGATCCCACAGGTGTAGGCCTCAGTCTCACAGGACTGCCCCCACTTCAGGTAGCAGTCACAACTCCCAGGGAAGTGCTTGACTTGCTATTCGTGGCTTATTATAAAGGATACAATGCAGGAACTGCCAGATGGAAGAGATACGCAGGGCAGGGTGTGGAGGGAGTGGCGTTGGCGGGGAGCTTCCGTGCTGTCTCTGAACACAACCACTAGCCATGACTTGGTTTTTCTGGAGACGACCTAGGGGCCCCAGCCACCAGTTATCTGATAATCATACAAAAGATGACTCATTACTCCAGAGATTCCAAGGGCTTTAGGAACTCTGTGCCAGGATCCGGGGACAAAGACTGAATATTTATTTTAATTATATCACACAGAGGTTTTAGCAGTAGCAGGGAACTAGGACAAGAAGTGAGCATGGCACGTAAGCCCCCGGGTCAGTTAGTGGGACTTACCACCAAATATGGCGTAAGAGACTGGAGCCCATATTATGTAGGTCTCAAATGACAAGATGGTATTTGGGTGACAAATGCCATAAAAGTTCAGAAAAGGGGAAGGGCAAAGTAGGAAGAGTTGGCTTAGAGGCTTCACAGAGGCCCAAGCACTTGAACTGAACTTTGAAGGATGCAAGGATAAGGACGGGCAGAGGGGACAGACAGGGTTTAAGATGCCATCTTGTCCCCTTGCTTTGCAGATAACAAATATCCTGTTAGCATATTGGACTCTTCCTATGAATGCTGACTCTGTTAATATGCCTATAATTATCTCTGTTTATATTTGACCTTTTTTTTACCCCCCCAATTCCTCTGGTGCCTGAGAACTAGTTTTAAATATCTGCAGTGATTGTGGAGAGGCAGGTCACCATCTGCCGCTTCCCCCACCTTGCTCCAGGATGAGTCACCACAGCAGCACCTGGCCCGGCTCCGAAGCGTCTCCTCTTTGATCCAGGTGCACATACAGTGATGAGGTTTCCATCTCCTGTGTCACTGCTGATGCCAATTCAGGGCATCCCCTCAGGCAAGCTCCCAGGTGACAAGGACAAAATCATGTAAACTCACCTGACATGTCTTCACGTGGGCTCAGAATCAGCCCTGACTTTCCACCAAGAAGCACGAGGGAGCTTCCCCACAGGAAGAATGAGACTCTGTCCAATTTCCAATGGGAATACCCCATGAGAAGCAAAGCTAAGATGCATGCAGGCTCCCCGCAGAACTGAGAAAAGTCACACTGGCGTATTTCAGGGCCGGTAATCAGAACTCCATTAGAGCAAGCATCCTTCCACCTGCTAGACCTGTGTGTGTGTATGTGTGTGTAAAAAGAGGGAGATTAAGAGAGGAAGAGAATAACAAAATAAGAGAGGCAAAGGTGAGTGAGGGAGACAAAAGAGAAATAATAAAGGAACAACTGGTGGAAAAAGAGGAGATAGTCACATGAGAACAAAAATACTGCTATCGTCCTTTGTTTTGCTCACGAACATGAAATGGAAATTTCAGACCATCCAAGACTTGATGCTCTGAGCTAAAGAAAATAATACTCTTCCTGCCCAGCCTCTATTCTGGAGGAGGGCTTGTTCCACACGTTTAGCCAACTCTCTGTGCTTCCCTTTTCCTGGGTGTGAAACGGGAACACTGATGTTAGCCATTATATTGCTTCTCAGGAGCCCAGAAGGCCTCCAAAGCCAGCCTTCAAGTTCTCCAAACAAAGGCATTATGTGAAGTTCCAAGATTTACCACACTAGTAAGGAGAAGTGTGACTTCCGTATTCTAATATTAACCTGTTAGGTAATCAAATGCATTAACAGTACTGATTAGATTGTTAGTTACGCTTACTCATGTATCCCATGAACACTTTGCACAGGGTCACCATGGAGTGGGCCGACCCTGCACCTGGGACCCACCGTGTATGTAGTAAGACGGGGCTAGCCCACCATACCCAGGGCATGGCGGGGGTGACCCCAGCCAAAGCCCAGGTGCTGCTGTCTGTCCCCGCCAAGGACCGCCATGACACCGTCTCCCGCCATGCTGTGTTGCAGACCTCTCCACTCCTCAAGGCCTACGGTTCAAGACGGTCACAGAGACCACGGTGGAAGTGCAGTGGGACCCCTTCTCCTTCTCCTTCGACGGGTGGGAGATCAGCTTCATTCCAAAGGTAATGGCCACGGTCAGGCTCTACGCAGCCTGGTTGGGGTACTTATACCCTCAACGTGAAATCAGTCAGCAAAGACGGCAGTGCCCAATCTCACGCACCCACTGTGCACCACTCAGGACACCAAGGGTCATTGTGTGGGTGCCTGGGCCAGGGAACATTCCTTTCACAAACATGTGGTGAGGACCCGTGATGAGCACACTGGCCTTAGATGACAGGATGTGGGAAGCAGCCACCAGCCCCAGCTCTCTGCTCAGAAAGCTCTGGGTTTAGCAAGCTGTGATTTGTAGTGAGTCTGAACACCAGACCTTCAATAAGCTGGGGCTTCTCTTCAGGACCTAAGAAAGGCACACTGAACCCGTCACATGGTCTGCCCACAACTTCATTCTGTGCAGACAGATGCACCAAAAGTCAGCTTGCATGGCATCAGTCTCTCAAGATTAGAAGGCTAACCTCAAAACACCTTTTAATTAACCTATTCATTGAGAAAATTTTCTTTTCAACAACATTATTGGCCTTTGAGTTAAAAATCATCCTACGGTTTCTTTCTATTCTTTAAAGTAGTATTAATGTAAAACTAACATTTCCAAGTTGCCAGAGCTTCCTGACTAGTTCTAGTTTTCCAGGATTTGTTGACCCTCCTTGTATTTCCCTAACTCCATCACTCATGGGGGTACAATGTCTCATCATACTCCTTCCCTCTGTCTTCATCTTTCAATATCAGAGAGCATTTCTTCAGCCATTCATCAGACTTAGCAACACACGACACATTCTGGCTAACAAGACTGTGTTACACCCTTCTTAGAGGCACAGGCTGTTGGAGCTCCCAATGACCTTCAAGTTCACGGAGTACGACCCTGCATGTTACATCCAGTTCGTGTAGTTTATAGAGACTAAAACTCAGCATACTTAAGTGACATCAGACAGCCAGACGGTGGCAGGCTTAAAACTGCCCCCTGGGTATCCACTTCCTTTTCCAGGCCTCTGTCCACTAAACCAGGATGCCCTACCCCCCTTTATGTGGATGTAGTCATGTCACAACATGCTAAACACATCTAAACAGACATTCTGTACCAATACTTTATCATGTCTTATTTGTGATACAATGGTCAGTAAAGTATGGCGGGCAAGTGGGTTGATGACAATGCACAGAGAACCATGTCACCCTACTGCTCAGGCAGAAAAAACATTGCAGATTTGCCTGCTTTAAATCCAACATGCAAAAAATAAGAGGCGCTGGCTAGGGCATGCCAAGGTCAAACACACCGCTACATAGAATAACGGTGTGACCTGTAGGTTGAGACCACTGGGGGGCATTTGTCACACTAATTTATAAGCGTATGGTTCTGAATTACATATAGGGCCCTTCAAAGGATAGGGGAGAAAGGCAGTGCCACAGAGTCCTCTTTGTGTCCGTCATTTCCAAGGACATGCATTGAAAATGTATAATAATACACAGACGGACAGGTAGGTAGATGGGTAGGTAGGTAGGTAGGTAATAGAACATCATCACTTTGACCTTTCTAATTTTCCCTGCCACCAGTTTGTCTCTTTCTCCTTTGTATTTGTTCCTTGCTTCCTTTTTCTCGTCTCTGTACTTCATCGTTCACTGTGCCACTGACTCCTAACTCATCTGGGTAAAAGGGAAATAAGACATTGACAAATTTGCACCCAGTACAACACCATGAGAAACTCCAGACATAGCAAAATAATAGCCCTGGCTCATTTAAAAACCAAGAGTGTCTTAGTTTGGAAAATGTGTGCGTACACAGAGATGTCTGCGCACTCGCGCGCGTGCGTACACACACACACACACACACACACACACACACACACACACACACACACCTCTACCCTTCTAAATAGCCAAGGACATGCTCATCATGATAAATGCCCCAAAATCTGATGGATATTAACCGTAACCATCAAACATTTCATCTATGGCAAGAGCCAGTTTACATCACCTGATGACTAATTTTTATTGGAAAACTCAATAGACTCAGGACAGGCCAAAGACATGTTCTTGAAAACTGTTTTTTTCCATTTGCCAAATCTTCGTAGAGTGGTGGCCTTCTTACTGGGCCTGCTGGGAGTTGTTCCTGGCTCCAAACACCCAGCTTTCAGCATGGAGGGATCAGGAGTAGCCCCCATTTTTAATTCACAATTTGCAAACAGTGGAACACCTTTCTCTGGCAGTGATTCTTCTCATTTGCTTTCTCTGCTTCTCCTTTCCCCCCACACTCCAGAACAATGAAGGAGGGGTGATCGCCCAGCTCCCCAGTGATGTTACATCCTTCAACCAGACAGGACTGAAGCCTGGGGAGGAGTACACCGTCAACGTGGTAGCTCTGAAAGAGCAGGCCCGGAGTCCCCCCACCTCAGCCAGCATCTCCACGGGTGAGTGCCTCCAACCTGCTTCCCTGTGGTACCCATCGCTCAGCCAGGGGAGAGAACTGCAGACTCGCCCGAGAAGTAGACAGACAGCAGGGTTCTAGGACTTCTCCCAGAGCTGAGAACAGTTTTGGTACCTGGAGATGGAGCTACTCTACCAGATATTAGGGTTAACATCTTCCGTATTGCTTCTCCTGACAAGCACAGACATCTGGGAGAGACTTCTAGGGGGAAAATTCTTCGTTAAGATTTCCAGTGTATTTCTTATGATCTTACTCATCAGGAGGCCTCCTTTGTCAGCCCCTAGTATCTTCAGCTTTAGAACCAGCAAGGGCTGACTCACTCTTACCTACTGTGAGATTTGGAGAAAGTCATCCAACCCTTCCCAAACCTTAATTCACTATCTGATGATGAACCCTCCTTTACGGAGTTGACATGAGGATTAGATAAAGCACCAGAAGTGACTAGCACTGTGTGGCCAAGAGTCAGCACTCAGTACCTGGTATACACATATAGTCTCAGAGAACACACTTGGAAGTGAAAGCATAGGGAACGAGTCCTTTAAAACCAGTATGTGTGGGCTGGGTCACTGCTCAAGGTGACGACTTCAGTTGATTATTATTTCATCCCCACAGTTCATCTCCTGTAAGGTCATTACATTTCTAGGTTTGATTCATTAACTATGTTGTGTTTTGCCACATTATTTCCTTGGCTAAAAAGGCCGCTCAGCTTTAATGCTATAAATTAGCAATTGTGATGTGTGTGTGGGTGACCTCACCACGAATTTTTCAGAAGCTATAAATAGCATCGGGTATCACTTTTTAGTCTCATTTTATGGATGGGAGAGCTGAGAATCGAAGGTTAAGCAACTTTCCCTGTTGGTAACAGAGATATGTGAATATGGGTACAGCTTTATTTTTCATAAACAGAAATTAACACCTAAGAACGCCAGTCATGGGTCCAGGACAAAGACCGAGTTGGCCCGAAAAGGGAACCACAGCGCTGTGTAATGAGACATGTTTGGATTAGTGAGTCATGCTTTGCTCATTGGATCCAACCTGAACAGCATCAGGCTTATGTTCAGTCTAGAAAACATTGGTTTAAAATTATTGTGGCCTCAGATTATGTCCCACTAGAGCACTGGGGTTCCATGGAAGGCTGTGAGGCAAGGATGAAGCCGACATCCAGGCTTCTAATTACTCTCACTCTTATGCCCAGCACACCCTTCAACCAAGGCAGCTAGCTCCATTTTTACCTGTTGTATATTTTACACACTCATTTAAGATTTTGTTCTTAAAAAAAAAAAAGAGTATTATCCTCCCAAGAAAGGCTTTAACATGAGTGTTCTAATCCAAATATGTTTTAGAAGAAACCCCACAGCCATAAAACCTGCAAGTTCTTTGTAAGCCTCTCTGCAGATGCCAGGGGCTTTGCTCCCCAAGGTTATCTGGAACCCGAAGAGCTGATATCTGATAGCATGTGTACACTCTCCTCCTCTGATATGAAATGTTTCAAGGACCCTAAGTCTTTCCGCTAATTTGATATTCAGAAAACATTAGTAGAAATCCAAAGGCTAGAAGGAGGAGACAGTTCATAAGAGGGCAGAGAGGAACCCTGCAGTTGTAGAATGATTTTCTTCCAAAGTATGAACAGCACTTAGAGAAGATAGCCCAACCCTACCTTAGTCTTCTGCTCAAACCACATTTTTTTAATGAAATTTGCAGTATTATTTGGTTTGGAAGTTTCTTAAGGTGAAAATTCAAAAGTCCAGATCTAGACATTTGTGGTAAAGCTAGGGAGAATTTTTTTCCAATGAAGAAAAATGTCCCAGTTAATACGTTGGCATTGTGTACGGAGACATGAAGAAATGGAAAGAAGAATATTTATGCCAGTTTACTTTTGGAGTAGGACTTGTGTTTGTTTAGAAATTAGGGCCTAAGTTGAAAGCAAGCTGATACCTCCTTGACTGGAATGGAACATCTGAAGTAAGTGGCCAACCCAAGGGCAGAATCCAAGAGTGGCCGCAGAAAAGATGGTTGGCTCCCAATCCTGTCTGCTCTTTTTAGAAAACAATTGTTTAATTCTTTCCTTCTGCTAAGGTCTGACCTACACCAACCCCCTCTTGCGAAGCTGAGACCTCATCAGGCTCCCAGACTGCCTTTTTCCAAGCAGGTCATTTGGGGAATGCAAATTACAAGACTTCCTGCAGCTGGAACTCTGTGCTACACAATCATGTTCTAATATGGGCAATCCTCCTAATATGGGCAATCCATTAAGACTAGGGTTCAGGAGGTGGAAAGAGTTAAAGAACAAAATTCTTACATGGCCATTTGAGTTTCTGTGACATCTTTTTCTTTTTTCTTTTTTTTTTTAAAGAAGTTCCAGTTCATTAAAATGCTTTCTCTTCTTTCTCATGGATACAGAGTATCATCCATTCATTTCATTTACTCAACACCCATCTACGAGTGTCTACTATGTCTCAGGCATTATGCTAATAGAGCAGCTTGGAGACCATGTCCCCCATTTCACTGTTAAATTACGTGAAATAAAAAAGGCCCAAGTTATCTAAAACCACTAAGTACAGCTTGCTGAAAACATCTGGATGTGTTCTGTTAAATCACATTATTACCCTAAATATGAAAAACAGAACTTTATTTTAACTCCAAACCAGGTGGCACCAAAATGGTCTGGTGATTTTCATTTTGGCTGGTGTTGGACCAAAAATCCTAAGCTGCTTAATAAAGAACAGGACTGGGTTTGACCCAGAAAGAGGTTTGAGTGCCCAGGGAAAGGCTCAAGGTCAGACTGAGACAGTCCCAAGTTAGACACTCCAATCTGGAGACAGAGGAGGAGGTGGTGCAGCATGGACTGATTACAAAACCAGTCTTCGTCAAGACTCTCTGGTCACAAGGAAGAAAAACTAGCTGAGGGAAAAACAGAAAATTTACTGGAAAGACATAGAGTGTCTCATGGAGCCCCAGCGCCAGAAATGTATCTGGGTCTCATGAGAGACTTGAACCAGAGAATGGAAAGTCAGGAATTGAGTTACTGTCTATATCTAGATGCTCCACGTGGTCACTCATCTCTGCTTCTCTCTGAATATTTGCTCCTAAAAATCTGCACCCGATTCCAGTGGGGGAGAGCTGGGAGGTTCTCCACACCAAGCAATTCCCTGAGACACAAGCTGGGTGCCCCCGCATTCAGCTCAGTTCTGACACTCTCTACCAAACAGAGCACTCAGATTCCACAGTTGAGGGCTCAGTCCCATGAGGCTGCCCTCCACTTCAGATGCCAATCGCAAGTCCAGGTTGTCACCTGTGCTTTTGACCTACTGGCTACAGACTGGAGGTTCCCATGATCCTCTCTTCAGGTTCAATTAATTTGTTAGAGCAGTTCACAGAATTCAGGAAACCCGTTTGCTCTCTAGAATACTGGTTTATGACAAAGGATATTAAAGGATACAAATCAACAGCTAGATGAAGAGATACACAGGGCAAGGTCCCAAACAAAGGAACCTCTGTCCTCGTGGAGTTTGGATGGGCCATGGTAGCACATGGAAGCCTTCTGTTTCTCCAACCCGGAAGCTCTCTAAACCCAGTCCTTTGGGAGTTTTATGGAGGCTTCATTACATAGGCATAATTGATTGATTGACTAGAAATCAGGGATAGGACTGAAATTTCCAACCCTCTAATCACATGGTTGGGTCCCCTAGCAATCACCTCCCCTTCCCTCTCTCCCCTCCTCCTGCTCCCCATCCTCTCTCTCCCTCTCCTCCCCTCCCCACCTCCCCCTCTCCCCCCAGATCAGATGTTTTCTATTTACGTGTGACTAGGGTAGAGAATGGCCACACCAGCTTTCATGATTCAAATCTATGAGATTCAAAACCAGAGAATCAGAGTCTCTTGTTCCAATTTGAAATCCTTGAAGAATATTACAAAACCAATCTTCAAGAATACTAATACGAATATTAATCAGCTCCAGCCAGAGGTGTGTAATCACATAATAAATGCAAACATGGTAGCTGGGCCTACTCTTTTAGAAGGTCATGAGTCATTCATAGCAGGGCATGCTGGCCATGCGGACATGTGAGAAGTTGAGAAGACCATTTTCTGTTCTGCTCACTAAATCCTTTCTATTTCTATTTCCCTTTTACATTCTCTCACCTTTCCCCACCATCATCTAATTCAATATGAACGGGGCCCTAAGTGGGTGCTAGAACCGAGGGTGGTGGGCCCCCTAGGAAGCTGTCCAGCATTTCTAGGGCGATACCATCTCACAATGGTGTCCCTTCAGATGCTTAGTGCCTGAGGCAAGGACTCATGAGGGACATATGCTGACTAACCTTGAGGGAATTTGTGTGACTGCAGTGCAGTGTCTTCTGGCTTAGGAATATGCAAGAACAGGTGGGAAAAAACAGCCCACAAGAGACTTCCAAAACTGAAGTTCTTTTTTTTTTTTTTAGAAGAGAGAGTTTTGCCAGAAGGCATGTTTCATGTCACAAATGCAAATGTCTGTCGGGTGTTGGTAGTGTCTTAGCAGCTGGGGTGACTGAGTTGTCCCTGTGGCTGAACAGGGACATTTTGGGGTACTCATGATTCCCTGTATAGCTACCGAGTTGGAAGTCTCAGATGTTTAGATACAGCTGATAATTTCATAGATCTTTCCTCAGGGATCAAAGAAGATGAGAGCTGAGCAGCAGGCTGTACACCAAAAGTTCAGTTTTCAGTTCTCTGGCCCCTTGTCTGCAGACAGAAGCTGTGTTGTCACCTCTCAAGCCAGCAAGTACCCTGCCCTTGCTCAAACTGGGACGTGCCAGCACTGAAAACCACAGCTGGCAAGAGCAAGGTTCGGGGCGACTGAGCCCCAGAGCCTGTTCCTTCCTTGCCAAACTATGTGTCCTCAGGAGAGAGACCTCTTCTGACTGTGTCTCATTTTCTTCATCTGTAAAATAGGATAATAGCGCCTGTCCTCGCCCTGACTGATCAGACTGGGAGGGAGCGGATATCCAATCTCTCACACTCTTGTCTCAAAGTGCCTTTTCTATTTGATCTTTCTCATTCAGTCATTGATGGGCCCACACAGATCCTGGTTCGAGATGTCTCTGACACGGTGGCCTTCGTGGAGTGGACCCCTCCTCGAGCCAAAGTCGACTTCATTTTCTTGAAATATGGCTTGGTGGGCGGGGAAGGCGGGAAGACCACCTTCCGGCTGCAGCCTCCCCTGAGCCAGTACTCAGTCCAGGCCCTGCGGCCCGGCTCCCGTTACGAGGTGTGGGTCAGCGCTGTCCGTGGGGCCAACGAGAGCGAGGCCACGACCACCCAGTTCACAACAGGTAAGGCTGTGGTGGGGTGGAGGGGCCCGAGGAGGGAGACAGGGGGTGAGCCTGCTGGGGGTGAGAGGGGCACTGAGGGAGGGAGATGACGGATACTGGGGCACCCATGTCACCACAGACACTGCAAGAAGGAAGCGAGAGGTCTCGGGGCCCCTGTTCCCAGCCAGACCTGTGAGCTGATACAAGTGTCTTCCCCATGGTCCCAGGTTTCTCATTTGTAAACTGAGAATTTTGTCCTGAAGACAGTTACACATCCACCTTACTAGCCCAAGAGGCAGTTTGGGGAGCGTTAAGGAAAGGGGTGGCTGCCTCGAGACGCTTTATTGCTGTTTGCTGGGAACTGGAATAATTCAATAAGCCCGTTACGACTCCCCTGCCATGATGGCGCCGGTTGGATGTGTGGGAAGCCCCACCAGTATGATGGGAAGCAGACCTTCGCCGGAGATTCTGTGCATCACTCTGCCATGGGGAAACACTACTGAGATGCCAGTGCGGGGTCTGGCTCCCACAGACAGCAGGCTGAAGGAACCCCTAGTCAGGGTCGCCTGCTGTGACCACCCACCGCTCCCCAAGGCTGTTGGACTGTTGAAGAGCTTCCCCGACAGCCGGGAAAGGCCAGCCTCATGGCGACCTGCTCCCTGAGTCTCATGGGGCCCATCAGGCTGGCCATCGAGTGGGCAGGTAGGACAGGCACCACCCAAAGGTGGGCTTCCCGGCACCCTCACTGGGTATGCAGGGCCTGTGATCACCTAGTGAGTGGGTCTCTGTAGCCCAGATTCTGTCTCGGCCCCTCTGCCCTGGGGAGGTCGCATGTCAAGGAATGTCTCTACTCACTCTTAGTTGTCGCCATGATCAAAGGAGCTGTTCATATCTGTAAGATCTAAGCGCCGGTATCTTCTGACAGGGAACAGTAGCGGGAGAATCACTAATTTAAGCATCCTACCTGGGATCGTGGCTGAGGGGCTTCAGGGAGGTTCAGAAAATAGCACCCCCCTCTTCCACCTGTGTTGAAAATCAACTGATAAGGAAAGCAAAGCGTAAGACAGATGGGGGCCAAAATAGCCCCTAGATGGGAGCAGGCAGCTTAGTGGTAGAGCCAGACGGGCTTGCAAACCTGGGCAAGTCGTCCATGTGGCAGAAGTTGAGGGGCCGCTCAGGTTTGGACATACAGCATAGAGGAAGCAGCAGAGGCCTGAGCCCTGGGGGCAGTGGCTCCCACGAGACATGGGGGCAGGGGGGCCAGGCCCAGGTCCTGCGATAAAGCTCACCATTGAGGCAAGTCCATCCTCCCCAGCGTAGGAAAGACAGAGGCCAGGAGTCTCTCATGGGGCTCCCTCCACACAGCAGGAAACATCAGGAGGGGGAAAAGCACCCCTGCTAAAGGGAGCACGTGTGGACCGTGACAAAATGCGGAAGGCAGGGTCTGATTCTGAAAGAGAGCCTCTTAGAGTTACTTCCTCTCCAGCCCTTGGGCTGGGCTGCCCCCACCAGAGGCGCTGGTCAGCTTTGTAACTGAACACACCATGGCAGCCCAGCGACTTAGTGTGCACCTGTAAAATAAGGGGACGGAAAGCTGCCCATTTCTCATCCCTTCTTTTCCCTCACGTCACCAAAACTGCTCAGGGCCAGGCGTGAGGGGTGACCTCACACCGTGTCCCTTCGTGGTCAAGTCAAGGTCAGCCTTTCCTCCCCTGGCCCTCCAGTCCCCACAACACTGCCCACCCCGGCTGTGGGGGTCTCCTGGGGGCTACAAGTCCTGCATTCTTTTAAAATTTAAAATAGCACGGGTTTAAAAAGTGGTTTCTTTGTGCTTTGCTCAGATAAGGAGCTCGAAGAGGCAGAAAAGGGGACGAGAGCTCTCGTGCAGCAGGATAAAAAACAAATGCTTGATGTTTAGGTTGACAAAATGGAGGCAGCGTTGGCTGGTGGCCCAGGAAAATTCCAATCAAGACAATTACATTCTGCCTCCTGGAAGCTCCCCCCAAGTTTCGGTTCATTGCGGTGTGATTCTATGTTTTGGGCTGCGTGGCAGATTGACAGCTGTGAGGTGGCTGCTTGTTCAATGTGGCCTCAGCCTGCACCTCCAACCTGCTCCCCTCCGCTCAAGGGGTGAAGATGCAAACAGCTTTGCAGACAAGCCCGCAAGGCCCCGGGGTCAGCAGGTGCCAGTTGAATGATGAGGGTGCTCTGGCCCCTCGCTGTAGGGCCCTCTGTCATTTCAGTCATTTCAGGACTCCGCTTAAATTCGCATTAGGCAAAGTGCTTTTCCAGGTGATGGCTTCAACACCAGGAGTGCACTAATCGCACGGGCAATTAAAACAGAGATTTGCTTCCTGCGTGCTGAGTGGGATGTTTGCCTGGGTCTTAGAGCTGCTCAGAAAGAAGAGAGCTGTGATGGAAGCACCGAGGCCAGTGGCCAGAGAGAAGCCAGGCTCCAGAGCCCGCCTGCCCCTCTTAGCTCTGGCTTCAGTTTCAGGAATTCCTGACACTCTGGCCCCATTGGAGGCCCTCTCTCTGAGCACATCCTTCCAGCCACCAGCGCATTCAGCCAACCAGGGGCTGCTGTTTTAACCTGAATGCCCCGGACTTCTCTTGAGTGCTGTTATGAAGTTGAATTGTGTCCCCTAAAAAGAAGGGAAGTCCTCACTCTCAGTCCTTGTGTATACAGGGACCTTATTTTGAAATGAGGTCTTTGCAGAAGATCGGATTACGATGAGGTCATTAGGATGGGCTTGAATCCAACATGACTGTGTCCTCATAAAAAGGGGAAATGGGGACCCACAGAGGGAGACGCACACAGGGAGAACACCGTGTGAAGATGAAGGCAGGGATTGGGGAGATTCTTCTAGAAGCCAAGGAACGCCACCGATTGCCAGCAAACCACCAGAGAGAGGCGCAGAACAGAAGCTCCCTCACAGCACCCAGGAGGAAGCAACGCTTCCAGTATCTTGATCTCTGACTTCTAGTATATGACACAATACATTCTGTGGTTTAAGCCATCCTGCCTGTGGTCCCTTGTCATGGAAGCCCTAGGAAAGCAGCGCAAAGGCCCAGGTCACAGCAATTGGGGCCCCATCCTGCTGGGAAGTGACTGCACTCTGGACTCTCACAAGTTCCACCGGGGTGGCCCCTGCCACCCCAGCCAAGACGAGCCGCCCTCCGGCAAAATGGTTCATTTCCCTAAACCAGTCGCCCCAAGCGTCCTCAGAGCCCCATCGCTGAAGTATTTAACAAGACTTTTCTAATGGCTTTAAGGCAGAGAACTGACAACAGTTATTGAGCCACTTCACACCTACTAGGTGCCAAGCACTGTCCTTGGCACTGAGGCTACACAATAAACAAGACAGACAAGATCCTAGTTCGTGTGGGTTACATCCCAGCGAAGGAAGCTGGACATGGAGGAAGAAAAGACACGCACAGGGTCACGAGTGCTACACTGAGAAGTGAAACGGATGATGTAGAAGGAGCCATTCAGAGACGCCTCTCTGAGGAAGTGAACTTTTAACCAAGACCTCCATGACCTAAGCCATGTGAGGATCCAAGAAGAACATTCCAGGCAAAAGTAGTAGCCAGTGCAAAGGCCCTGAGGTGGGAATAAGCTTGATGCGTTTCAGGAGTCGCAAAAAAAGGCGGTACAGCTGGGGCACTGTGACTAGGGGTGGAAGTGTTCCAGCATGATGTGTGGGAAACAGATGGAGCCTGATTGGTCCCGCAGAGCCTGCGGCGGCTGCAGAAGTTCGTAATAGGAAGCAAGAGGCACATTTTCAGCAGGAGAACTGCTGGCTGTACGTTCTGGTTTAGAGGCAAGACGTGGCTATTCCCAGAGTCCACAGCCCCAAGCCGCTCCATGGGGCCCCCACTGGACCCACTATCTTTGCATTGGTCCTGGCTTGCTGACATGTCACAGGGGTGCCCTTCAGCTGCCCCTCCCAGAGGTCGGGCTTCAAGATCCAGGGGAGCAATCCATTTCACTCCATCCCAGTCCTAAGACCCTCCCCTCCCAAGACTCATTCCCAGGATTGACCTCTTCTTGGGACATTGACATTAGAAGAGTCTGGTCCCTTCAGAGAAAACACTGCCCTCTATTCACAGGACCCAGGCCTTAAGGTCAAAACAACCGGAAAACAAAAACCATAGTTTCCAAGGTCTGGGATTTTTAGTTGTGAGGAGCAGTAGGCAGGTACTAGACTCAACCTGAACCCTAACCCTAACTTGTATTCACTCCGGTCTGTGTAGGCCCTACACCCCAATCCCACTCCAGTGCCTTATCGCAGCTGCTCCGCCTATGTGAAATTTTAGAGGCGTGCAGCCCAGGGGGGTCCTTCCACCTGCCTCTCAGGCTCCTCCCTTCATGCAACTGCTAGAGAAATAACGCACACAGCCCGTCAAGAATACACAGTGTCCGGATGCTAAATCCACGCTGAGTAAGGACACGTTTCCCAGAAAAAGAAGCTGCAGAGACATAAATCTGCTCAAAGATTTGCCAATTACATCACTGAACAGAGTCCTTCTCACTCAGGAGCAGCGACAGGCAGACTGAGTCATAGCCTTCTCATCTTCCCCAAGAGCAGTTGGTGGACACTTGCCTGGCATTTGCAAATTAAAACAGTCTACTCGAAGGTTTCTCAGAACAAACAGCCGGTCCGCTCCAACGTTAAATCCAAGTCTCAAAGACAAGGCCTATGTAGAACTTTTTAAGTGGCCGTTTTTCATGATAGCACCTTGTTACCTGCAAGTTGTCTGTTGTTTCTACCAAAATAAGCCTGAAGAGATGACCAGTCTTGGGAGACAGAACCAGCCCCCCAGGACTGTGGGAGAAAATGCAGTGGTGGTGGTCTCCTCATTGCAGTGGAATGACTGGAACCCCAAAGAGCAACCATTGGGGGGCACCATGTTGTTGGAACTCAGGAAGAGCTTCGGAGGCAACAGGAGGTCCGCCCAGGGCTTGGGCACCTATTTTTACACCAGGCACCCATGCCATGCCCTTCACGTGCCTTGTCTAATCTGCACAACAAGCTGAAATGGCAGTATAACGAGCCCATTTTACAGGTGTGGCCATCAAGGCCCAGAGAGGAGAAAAGACTTGCCCATGGCCCCATTACAATAAGTGGCAGAGCTGAGGCTCATACTGATAACCTGACTCCAAAGCCCACATTCTTTCCACTACATCACATCCTCTCTCTCTATAATTTTCTAACAGTGTCTATGCTGGCAAATTCAGGAGACAGCTTATACGTCAAAGTCTTGCAATCAACAGCCTTCTTTTTGCTTGGTAGCCACATGTGATATTACGCTATTCCATCTTAATCTCTTGGACCCCATCTCTGATTTTCTCCTGCCGAGGTTTTCCTTGCTTAGTTTTAAGCATATGAGGCTAACTGGCTCATTTTTAATTTCTAGATCACCCCCCTGAAACTTCTGAATGGGAAAGGGAGATGCGTAAAGTGTTTTTGATATCTAACTCCCAAGGAAAACTCTCCGAACTGCCCACGAGTCTGTCGTGCCCAACCTGGCAAACCAAACGCTGAGGGGCAGCCCCGGGGTCATTCGCACATGAGGCAGAGGGTCAGGAGGTGTGGGCTGTCACCACAAAGCTTGTTCGAGTTCAGGATGCGTGACAAACGCGCATTATCCCGTGTGACCGTGGTGCCGTCTGACTCTGTTTAGAGATTGACGCCCCCAAGAACCTGCGGGTCGGTTCCCGCACAGCGTCCAGCCTTGACCTTGAGTGGGACAACAGTGAAGCGGAGGTGCAGGACTACAAGGTCGTGTACAGCACCCTGGCGGGCGAGCAGTACCACGAGCTGCTGGTCCCCAAGAGCTTCGGCCCTACCACCAGAGCCACCCTCAACGGTAAGTGAGCCCTGGCTCCTGAGTCCACACCCCCGCAGCTCTCTCCCCACCCCACACACCCCACATCTAACCCGAGCCAAACGCCGTTCATTTCATCTCTCGGGCACCGTCATGTACATCTGCCTCGCCTGCTGTCTGTTGCACGCCTTTGCCTGGTCTAAGCTACCTCTTGTCTTACGTTCCTGATTGTGCCATCGCATTGCGCCCACATTTCAGAGACTGCCATTGTCCTTGAGATGAACCCCAGCCTTCAGCGCAGCCCACCTGGGTTCCCTGCCATCTTCTCCCATCTCCCCTCTGTCCCGTGTCGCCTGAGGCTCCCTGTCTCTTTGGGGTCCTCAAACACCCTGCCCTCCTGCCACAGAGCCTGGCGCACCCTGTTCCCACTGCCCCAAGGCTCTCCCGCCACCCGCTCCACCTAGTTGTGTCCACTCCCCTCTCAGCTCTCCGTCTACTTGTCACTACCTAGGGAGCCTGCCTGGCTCCCAGGTGCGGTCAGGCCATCGGCCCTGAGCCGCATCTCCCTCGTCCCCACTCACCTCCCAGCATTCCGCCAGGTACCACTGCACACCTGTGGTGCGATGATGCAGTTGTCCGTCTCTACCCCAGCCTAAAGCTCAGTGAAAGCGGGACCATATTTGGTGTTGCCCGTCATTGGTGCCCCAGTGTCTAGCACTTAGTACCTTCTAGATAAAACAATGGATGAATGGATGGATGGATGGATGGATGGATGGATGGATGGATGGATGGATGGATGGATGGATGGATGAAACTATAAACATTCACTATGACTGGGGCAGAGACGACAAGATGCCAATGATGAGGTGAGAGCCTGCTCAGGCCTTTTACACCCTATAAAGAGAGTGAGTGGGAATCAGTGAGAGACTTTAAATAAGGTGATGTAATGACCAGATATGTGAAGGGATGGGAGGAGGGCAAGGCCAGAGGCACAGGTCGGTCAGGAGGCTGTGCTGGGGTCAAAGGGAGAGATGATGGCGGTATGGACTGAGGCGATGCCCCATGACGCTCGGCTGGGGAGCATTTCCTGTCCCCATGGGGATGTGGGGCCCACCCAGTGCTCCTCCTGGGGCCACAGACACTCTCATCCATGAAGACCTGCCTGCCTGTGGGACCTCTCCGACAGGTGGATGACTGGTATTCCGATGCAGGAGACCGCACAGAGCAGCCATGCACCAGGGGCTGCCGACGTGCTCGCGCACAGGCACTCCGCTTAGCTGCGTCTTGGCTTCCTACAAAAGCATCTGCCGTCTTCGCAGACAAGGGACACCCAGCAAAAGCTGAGTACAGTAAACAAGGGCAGTCAAACCAAAGCTGTTTTCCTCCTGAACTGAAATCCCAGTCCGCCTTGCCAAATGAGGCCAGTTAAAGTAAATATAATAAATGCTTTTTCCAGACAGATACACTCCTGAAAACACAGCAAGGAGATGGAGAGATATGCTGACCAAGCAGGTTAATGGGGGTGAATTAGACATAGCAGGAACAGACCAGCTGGCAGAAGGGCCTTTACAGAGAGCTGCAGACAGTCACAAAAATTAAACTAAACAAAAAAAAAACCCGAAATGATGCAGGAGGGAACTGATTCCAATTGCAGCCCATCCTTGCCTAGAGCCTCAGGCTGACTTGGCAATTAGCAATTTACAAGGATGATGGCTAGTTGTTCAGAGGTGGAGGCACCATAAAATCAAGAGAGATACAGGGGGGCCGACCGAGTGGCGCGATGGTTAAGAACTCGCTTGGGATGCCGGAGGGCCCCGGTTCGGATCCCACATATGAGGGCCAGTGACACTGCCCTCCACAGCTAAGATGCTGAACAACGGCTCAACCTGGAGCTGGGTTGCCATGG